TTATTTTGGGTCCCAGTTTCAGAGGTTTAGTCCATGGTGAGCCAACTCCACTTCCTTGGGCCAGAGGAGAGGCAGAACATCGTGGCAGAAGGATATGGCAGAGGAAAACTACTCCGTTCATGGCAGCCAGGAAGTACAGAGAGAGGTGGGGAACAGGAAGAAGACAGATCCTTTCAGGGCACTTCCCCAGTGACCCACTTCCTCCAACTAGAGCCCAGCTCCCAGAAGTCTATTCAGCTCTCCAGTGATAAAGTCAGAGTCTAAAAGCTCCCCCTCTGAACCTTGCTGCTTTGGGGAGCATGCTTTAAACACATGAGCTTTACGGAGGACAATCCAGATCCTAACCATAACACTGTCTAAGGACAGAGATTAGAAAGATTTAAAAGTAGGGTCCAACTATATGCTATCTATAAGAGACTCAATTTAAATCCAAAGACATAAATAGACTGAAATTAAAAGGATGGAAAAGGCATTTCATGCAAATAGTAACCAAAAGAGAGCATGGGTGGCTATACTAATAGCAGACAAACTAAACTTTAAATCAAAAAAAAAAAATGTTTCAAGAGACAAAGGACATTATTGTTAAAAAAGTTCAATACAGCAAGAAGATATATAAATTTTTGTTATGGTTGTTATTTGGAATCAAACCCAGAGCTCATGCATGTTAACCAAGTGCTCTACCACTAAGCTACATTCCCAAACCTTTTTATTTTTTTGTTTTGAGACAAGTTCTCCTTGAACTTGCAATCCTCCTGCCTCAGCCTCCTGAGTAGCTAGCATTACAGGTCAAGACACACCAATTTTAAACATTTATGTTTAACAGGATCATCAACATATAGGAAGTAAAAACCAATAGAATTGAAGGGATAAATAGTTCTAAAATAATAGTTGGAGACTTCAACATTCTATTCTCAATAATGAATAGAACAATCAGAAAATAAGCCAATAAAGAATTTAACATAATAAACTATATCTAACAGATATATACAGAACACTCTATCCAATAACCGATGGTTGCTGTGGAAAAAAAGTTTTGTGGTAATTTCTCAAAAAATTTAAAAAAAGAGTTACTACCTGATACAGCAATCACACTTCTAGGTGTAATTCTCATAAGAATAGAAAGCAGAAATTTGAATAGATATTTGTATATCCATGTTCGTGGCAGCATTATTCCACAATAGCTAAAACATAGAAGCAACCTAATTGCCCATTAATGGATGAATGAACAAAATGTGGTATGAATACCCAGTGGAATATTACTTGGCCTTAAAAAGGAGATTCTAACATAATTCTTCAACACATATGAACCTTGAGAACATTATAACAAGTGAAATAAGCCACTCACAAAAGGACAAATACTGTATGATTTTACTTACAGAGGTACACAAAGTAGTAGAATCAGAGATTTAAAATAGAATGGTGGTTGGCAGGGGCTAGGGAAAGAAAGACATGAGTAGTTATTGTTTAATGAATGTATAGAGTTTCAGTTTTATAAGATGGAAAGAGTGCTGGGCACAGTGGTGTATGCCTATAATCCCAGAAACTCAGTAGGCTGAGGCAGGAGGATCACAAGTTCAAGATCAGCCGCAGGGTTGAGGATGTGGCTCAAGCGGTAGCGCGCTTGCCTGGCATGCGTGCGGCCTGGGTTCGATCCTCAGCACCACATATAAACAAAGATGTGTCTGCCGAAAAACTAAAAAATAAATATTAAAATTCTCTCTCTTAAAAAAAAAGACCAGCCTCAGCAACTTAGTAAGACCCTGTCTCAAAATGTTTAAAAAGGCTCAAGATGTGGCTCAATGGTTAAGCACCCCTGGGTTCCATCCCTGCCACCCCCCAAAAATAAAAAAATAAGGTTATAGAGATGGATGACAGGATGTTACAGAACTTTATGGACAAAATATATTGTTGCTTTGTTGTTGTTTGGTCTTTTGGTCATTGGGAGCATGTCCTCAGGATTGTAGGACTTCTGACACTTCCTCTCTCTTCTTTTGCTTTGTAGTCATGAGGTGAATTACTGACATGCACTGCTGGCATGCTGTGCTTTCTTGTTACAGGCCCAGAAGTAATAGGGACAACTGATCATGCTCTGAAATCTCTAGAACTGCAAGCCAAAATAAAACTTTTCTCTTTATAAGTTGATTATCTCAAGGACTTTGTTATAGTAACAGAAAGCTAACATAGTTTGATCATTATGGAATTTTAAAATAACACATGGTACAGAAATGCCTGAGTCTCACATGTACCGGGCAAGTGCTCTACACTGAGTTACATCCCCAGCCCAATTAAGCACATTTTTGTGTGATTCATGTTTCAAAGAAGAAACAAGTAAAATCAGAAAATATTTGAACTGAATTATAATGAAAATATCAACATCTATGGGATATAGCTAAAGTAAGCTGGGAAGGAAATGTTTACCTTTAAGTGTTTACATCAGAAAAGAGAGGTCTAAAATCAGGGACTTCAGCTTCCATCTTAAGAAGCTAGCAAAATTAACTCAATGTAAGTAAAAGGAAGGAAATGAGTAGAAATCATTGAAGTAGAAAGTGAACATATAAGAGAGGAAAAGCAACTACTATGAGATGATTTCTTGAAAAGCTAAATAATACTAATATTCCTATAGTTTGACTAATCCAGATAAAAGAGGAAAAAAAGGAGAATCTTTTTTTTCTCTACTTTCCTAGGTTCATGACCAAAGTCTCTACAACAAACGGTAGATTAATAAGAGGAAACCACCAAATGTATGTAATATGTCTCACGTGACAAACGTTATTATAAAGAAAATGAAGACCCAGGGCTGGGGATACAGCTCAGCTGGCAGAGTGTTTGCCTAGCATGCACAAGGCCTTGGGTTCAATCCCAAGCACCACAAAAATAAATAAATGAATAAATACTGAAAGAAACAGTAGTACATAGTTGTGGAAAAACATGACAGAGCACAAATGATATGATCTAACAGTAATCTGGGGAAAGTTAGCAAGTCCTGTTAGTTTAGAGACCCTATGTCTTCAAAGATAAGAATGTTCCTTTCCTCTGGTTAAAGGGAGGGATCTGCCTAAGTGGAAGGTCAGAAAATACTGCCTGGATTTTTTTCCCCCTTGATTCAAGGGAAGAAATGAGGGAGTTTCAGAGAGACCATTCTTGAGTAGAGACTATTCTTGAATTCTCTCAGTTTAAAATATTCAGTATGCAAAGGTGCCATATTTGGGGGTTACTGTGCTCTGAACCCCAAAGACACACATTACCAATATCAGAAATGAAAACTAATATTAAAATGATAAGGGATACACTTTATGTCAAAAAGTCCATAACTTATATGAAATGGACAAATTCTTTGAGACACAAGTTACTAAAACTGACATAGGAACAGAATATATCTAGTGGAGAAATTGTTATTAAAAGCTCTTAAAGTAATCACTCCCGTCTGTTATAGAGCCTGTGATGTAAGATGGGCATGGGATTGTCTGGATTTCAAAAGGTGTCAATTCCTTTGGCAAGCAGAGCCAGGACCCAGGGGAAAGGAGGCATCCAGTAGGGATCTGCATGGAATAGAATACCACACAGGTATCTGGGCTCCAGCAGACTTGACTTTACACCTGGCTCCTAGAATGCCTCATGTGAAAGGCCCTCTCTAGACTTGGTGGCGGAACTGATCAATGATGAGAGTTGCTCAGGCAACTACACTAGAGACTTAAACTAAGAAATAAGTACCAAGAGAATGAATTCAGGTATGCCTTGACAACTGATTAGAACCTAACATTAGAATCTAGATCTCTGTCCAAGTACCCACTGCCAACCTGTTTTTGACCAAAATATTGCACTGGAGGTTTTCATGCTCAAACCTGACATTTCCTGTTAAATTTGGTCATTAATCACTTGGTGGTGGTGGTGAAGGAAGACAACAGGGCCTGGTATACAGTAAATGCAGGTAAAAAGTTACTAAAAATTGTCTTTTATTTTAGTCTCTTTGTTGGGGGAAACCATTTATCTATTGTGACTAATCTTAATTTGCAAATGCAAATCTCAAGCAGAAAAATCTTCCAAATAGTGAAAAGGAATTGTGCAGAATGCATAATGGTATAAATGATGAGAGATCTGACCACATTAATTTGTCATATGAATTAAAGTTACAGAAACAAGACAAACAGGATCTGGGAATATAGTTCAGATGATAGAGGGCTTGCCTTGCACACAGAAGGCCCTGATTTCAATCCCCAGCACCACCAAAAGAAAAAAAAAAAAAAAAAAGACAACCATATTCAAGGCAATGAAAATAAAAAGGACCGTGTAAAAATCTATCCGGGGAAAGGACACAAAACACATTTTAGGGTTTTCCCCATTCTTGAGACCATCTTCAATTCAGGCAAACCAATCAGAGTTCTGCCTGTCTGATTTAACTGGGAATGGCATGGTTTGTATAGCTTTTCCCTTCAGGGGAAAGAATACAAGTCAGCAAACATCAGGGTAAGCATACTTGGTTATACTAGATCATACTAGATCCATTTTACACTTTTGACATTTGAGGTCTACTACTACAAATAAAACAAGTAGCTTTTTCCCTGGCTATCAAACCAGTATACCAAGACTCAAGCCAGAACCTGGTAGTTCAGGTTCCTATTGGCTCACCACAACCCACCCTCATGGAAAGTGTTATATATCATACTGGGCTCTACATCAGGACAAGTAATGTTCACTTTATAAGCAGATGTAGGGGAATGGAAGAGGATTGCTTAGAGTCCACATCAGGACTCCTTCCAGTTCAGTGAAAGCAAGAGCAGTCCTCAAGCACAGCTTTTTTTCCTCCTTCTCTGTTACCACTCACAGGTACCCTCAGCGCTGACAAGGGCAACAGACCTTCTCAAGTCTGTCTTTTCTAGGGCAATAGAAATCTAGAAGAAATACAGCTGGGTTTTGTTGTATTTGAAACACAGGAGTCTTATTCATATCACAGCAAAGCACACCATCTACTGTTTTAATTTCTTGATGAGAATAAATGACACTTATTTTTCCACTGTTTTATTATAAAAATCAACATTTCATTTGTTACAATTCAGCTTATTGAAATAATCAAAAAGGGAATCTATACAAGGTAGTTTTATACAGTTTATAATTAAAGCACTTATTTTACAAAAGGGGGAAGTGAATAAGTGGACAAGGGCTGACCAAATGTTGGCCATTATAATATAAATACATCCTTGCAAAGCACCATCGTACCAAAGTCGATGAACATAGAAACACCAGTTGACTTTAAGACAATGACAAAGATTAAAGCTTAAGAAAAAATTTTAAAACATAAAGGATAAACATCTGAAAGCAGCACCAGATCCTTCACTTGCAAGTAAGGCTAGTCCAGTTTAAGCTTCATGGTATCCTCTTTCCTCTTCTTAAATTTCCCTCACTAACCCAGATAATTAACTTCATGTAATAGCAGAACTAACAATACTTGCTTTAATTTCTTTTTAGTACCCATATTGAGGCATTAATATATTGATACATATCTATATCCCCTGACCTTATATGATTAAAAAACAAAATAACCCAAATGGACAGTTAAACAAAAGCATGTTATCTATATTCTTTGGTGTTAACTTCTGGGCAAAGTCTAAGTGACAGTGGGAAGTCTAACAGTTGGCTTATGTTAGGTCCATATTTCACTCTTGAGTACAAGCAACCACTTAGTTTGTAGATTAAGAATGCCTTGTGAGGAAAACAGTATAGTTACCTGGATTTAAAGGGGGTGAAGAGTTGGGTCAATAATTTGCTTCTAAGTCATTAAGATGAACCTAAGAATCTACCTTCCCCTCCAGTCAGGTACAGGATTATTCTAATAACATGTGGAATCAAGTCAAGGAGAAATATCCTCACAATATGGATTCAAAATGCTCAGACCTTAAATTTTTTAAAAATTAAAAACATGTATTTTATGCTTGAGGCCCAAAGTTCTTTACTCTAAAACTCTGAGAATTTCAAAAGCCAAATTTTGAGACTAATATGATACAGTGCCATACCAGAAGCCAATAACCACACGTTACCAGTACTTCTAAAATTATCTGTTATTTCTCTTGGCCTATTTTAGGCTTGGGATAAGAAAAAGAACAACAAATAAAAATTAAATTTATTGAGTTTAAGAATTCTGCATAGTAAGTTTTAAACAATACTTGATTATAAACTTCTTTAGGACCTAGTCTACATTTAGTGTATAGTGTCAATTGTAAATCCTGAAATACCTGTCAGTCAACTGATACTTCCACACCCATATCCATACCTCAAACTATGGATTTCTTACATTTACTAAAAGAATGGCCTATTTGGGAATGTGAGAAGTCCAAGTTTGTTGTTTCAGAATCTTGTAAGGTTTCCCCTCCAAGAAACAAAAAAGATTTTAAAAACTACATTTATAGGAATTTAATCTAAGCAAGGTCTACATAGGGAATCAGCAGCAACCCACCTAACTGCAGAGAAGCAGCTTGCTTACAGCAAACCTCTCCAGTGTCTATTAATCATCTTTGGTATCAGGGCACACAAACAAAAGGATCTCATTACAGGTAAGGTAAGCCACAGCTACTAACTACCTGAAAAGGTCTTGGAAATGGTCTTCATTAATGTGCCTTTACAGCAAAACAAAAGATATTTCCCCCAAGGTCACTGCTACCTAAGAGATACTGGCTATTCTTACAACTTAGTATGGAATGAGTTGCCCTTGTACAAATTATTGACTTAAGAGTATTTTAAAATAAGACCTGTCCACCTTAAATTCTATTGCTCAAAGCTCCCTCCTCCCAAATTACTGGCTTACTTTAGATGAAAATGTACTTTAAAGTCTTTATTTCTAATACACTATTGTCCCTCTAGAACAGAGGATGGTTTTTTTTTAATATTTATTTTTTGGTTAGACACAATACCTTTATTTTATTTATTTTGATGTGGTGTTAAGGACCGAACCCAGGGCCTCTCGAATGCTAGGCAAGCGCTCTACCGCTGAGCCACAACCCCAGCCCTAGAACAGTCGTTTTTTAAACCTATTCAAGGATCATCTATCTCTTGGTGGTACATCACAAAGTGTACTTATATTAAAATTAAAGTAACAGTATAATATTCTGTGTTTAACCAGATATCTTGTGACACACCATATAAAAGAGAGCCACCAAGTGCCAAAACTACAATTAAAATTTCTTGAAGAAAAATTAATACTGACAAAATTCTATCCAACAACAGAGTTTTTTTTTTTTTTTTTTTTTCCTGTGAATGTGCCTTTCTCTAATTTCAGCAATAAAACTCCTTGGGCCACTGTTAAGAAGGACCTTAAGAAGCCAAGTCCAGAACTTTAGTGATAAAAGACCATTTCAATGTGTAGTGCACAGAAGATATGCTGTGTGATAATTTTAACTGAATCAAAAGGAGGCATACTTTAAGATACACGTTCAAAAGGGATACTTGTATATTTAATGACTCTAATGAAATTTTATTCATTTTTCCTCTTGAATGATGGATCTAGCAATATACCAAATTTAGAACTCCCCCCCCCTTTTTTTTAATCTTTTTCTGATTTGTGGTTTCAAGTTAATTTTTTTCCTCACTTTTTCCAATTAAAGCTCTGTGTTTAACAATTAAGATGTAGTTTACTTAAGTATAACTGTCCATGTAAACTGAGAACCAACAAATCACCCCCAAATTTGATAATACTCTCATCAAAAAGGACTCTCAGAAATATTAAGAATCCATTTCAACCACCCCAGAAAGAGGATACTGAGATTAAGCTGAACTGCCTTCAAATAATTTCAAACAAATTGGCACACAAATTAGTATTTTGCAAGAAGAGGCCATTGCCATCGCAGTACAAGCATTTGGACTGAGATACAACAAGGCAATATTCTTCTTAGTTCATTATAGTGCAAGTTTCCACATGGGAAGCCCACCAGATAAAGATGCACATTAAAAATGTAAACATATAGAATTCTCAAATTCTAATTGATACCCAGTTACTGCTAACCTTTCCATCTTCATTTGTGCCCCTGTGTGTCACAGAATACAAGTTCAACGTTCATTTTGTCTTAGATTAGGAGCACTTTGTTCCACCAACAGGAAGAGTAATGCTTGTCTGACTGAAATGCAAGACACTGATGGATTACCATTTATTTATATGTAAAATCAAGCTGCCCCCAACAATCTGAGCAATATTCTGAAACCACATTTTTTCCCCTCTTTAAATTGTTTACATAGGTATTTTTTTAATTGCTTAAAAAAATTACTTCACCTCTGCTAAAATTGTGAATCTGTTCTTTTATTGTTTTCTCTTGGCTCCTGAAACCCAGAGGGGCCTCTTCAGGATTGAATTTTAAAATCACTCAATGACTAACTAACCAACACCTGTAAGATAAAAGTATACTAGTTTAAAAACACATTTAATTTTAGCAGAGAAGTGCTAGACACAAGTAAAAAGCAGGAAACCAATTTCTGGTAAGGTGGCACAGCAGTGCTAGAATCATTCCACAGGTCAGCCCTGATAGCTGAAGATGTAGCAGCCCCAGTACCACACATGACAGCAGGTCAGGCAGGGCACGTGAGAGACTTCCATCATTCCCCTCCACCCAAATTCTGACAGCTGAGAAATTTATAGTTTATCTGCTCAATTTAACCCCATTGTTAAATTTGTTAAGTTATCTCAACTCATAACGAGATAAAAGAGAACACACAAAAAAATACATGAGGTGATTATAAGAATTATTTGTGGATAATCAAAATAACCTACTATTCACAGTGGGTAACAGGAAGATATTAAACTCATGTCACACATTAGAAGAGGTATGTATGTAGACAGCATTCTGAGAAAAACTGGTCTAAAGAACACGAAAATGTCACAAATAGTTAATTAGGGATAAACTAACAACAACAAAAAATTTTTAATATTGCTTATAACCAGAACATATTTAAATGCTTTACTCAAAAATATATATATAAAAATGATTTTCATATTGTCATATGCTGAAAGTACTGCAAGGATATATGATTAATTTACAACAAAAATGTTATGATTAGATTTGTAATTTTTAAACACTGTCTATGTGTTGTAAAAAGACATTTTAATGAGCATTAAAACAATCTTGGATGTAAAGAAGACCAATAATATGGCTAACTTTTGATCATTTATGCAAAAACAGCAGTCAAATTGAAGAGCTAAGCCTACTGCAGGATGGAGCTAGTGGAAATATTAAAGTCAAAACCTAGTTTAGAAAACACCGTTTAATTGATTCCTCAGATAAAAAGCTTGAATAAACCATGTTCTCTTAGCAAATGGCCTAAGTTGCTGGGGGAGGCAGCAAGGTGAAAAACATCTAGAGAAAACTTTAATTTTGATAAAGGTGTGGGCTCTAAAGTAGGGACAGAAGATGTGCACATATGCAGCCCCACAACATCTCACAGACCAACAATCTTGCCTACAGCACCACCACCCAGAATGGATTCTTGTAAGTATCTTTCTTCCTTATTAAAATGGTTGGATTCGTAAGAGAAAACAAAGCCCTTTGTCCATGGTTAGTTTTAATTCCTTTTTTTTTTCCCCCTTGTCTCATGATTTCTTAACTTCTTGGCCCTCAAATGTTAGTTAACCTGAAGGCTATTTGGCTACTTCCAAGCATCTATGGTTTGCTGCTCTGAGATGGACTTAATTTCTTTCTAAAAATTTTTTTTTTCATTTTTTTGGTATCAATAAAGTCCAGACATTCCTGGTCAGTGATGCCTTTATTATTCCTGTTTCCTTTGTACTCAGTCACTTCACTGGGTTTAAGGCATGCTTTGTGTATTCAGTTTGCAAAAATAAAACTTTTAGTACAAATTTATTTTTTATACAAACTTTTATGGCACAAGCAGCAAATCTGCTATTTTAAGAAAATATATAAATATTCTTTTCTTCTGTACAAATATCTCCAGTATTCCCTACCCCATTTTATAACTTTTACTATACATGGTCTGCCTCATCCTTCTCTAATAGCTCCCTCCCCCCCTCCAGATCTCAACCAGATATGTATTTACAGTTTCATGTTGGAGGCAGTCAGAGGAGGAGGGCCCCTCCTCAGGAGGAGTCTGTGCAGGGAGAGGGTGGTGGTGGGTAAAGGTGATGGGAATAGCTCCTCTCTGTGTACGGAGAAGGTGGACAGCTTTCATAGTTTTCCTCTGCTGACAAGTACTGGCTTCGGGGTGTGGGAGGTGGGGGCACAGGTTCTGAGTCATAGTTCAAGTCACTGGTATAGCCCTTGGCTGTTGCCACTGAGGTCATTCTCCGGCTAGGAGCATAGTCACTGTCACAAACATCTGTGCTGCAGGGTGTAGTGGGGGGTGCAAAGTGCCGGTAGCTATATGGCCTATAGCTGGTACAGGAAGAAAATACAGAGAAGCAGAGTTAAGTTTTATGGAAAAACAATTTTCTTTAACAGAATTCAGGGACATTAGATACAAACTTCACTTGCAATTTCAATCTGCACATTTCAAGAAGCAATTTGCAATGGTGGATTAGCAGAGGAGAAAAGAACATGCATTTTCCTATCTGCAAATAAAACATAGAGGTAAGTAAAAATGGAAAGTAAAAATGGATAGAATGAGAAATCAGAGGTAAACTCAATCTAGATGTGCTTTTATATCTTCAAGTTAAACTTTATCACAAAATACAAAGGAACTATTCAAAGTTCTACTTGGGCTGGTAAAGTGTGTGCTTAGCATAATGAAGACCTGGGTTTGATCCCTAGTACCATATTAAAAAAAGGAAGAAATTTAAAAAAACAAAGTTATACTTAATGGTCATGAAAAATGTGTCTGTTATACATTCTGCATGTAGTGTATCGAGTAGACCTTACCAATTGCTATAGTTTTATAGCCTATGAGAAGAATGAGTTTTTCTGGATTTTACACTACAAATGGTAGCATTCCCTCAACATTCTTTAAATGCTCCATAGTTACCTGACAAATAATTTAATGATGCTTGAAGTCTTCATTTCTTTTTTAAAAAATTGAATATTAAATAATTCAGGCTGTATTTTGGTAGACAACCTAAATGGTATATCTACCCTGTTACTATTACCACTAGTAAAGGGAAACTGCTATAATTTGGGGAAAATAGTTTTAATTCACTATAGACGGGAATACTGTCATAAGAGCAGCTTTAACTGAACCTCAAAATGTTAAATTTTAAATACTCATAGAGGACCAGTAAATTTTCTAATATATATTTTCAGAGGTTTAATATATTTCTTACACTTTTTTAAAAAAATCTTTACAAGTAATCCATAGTTGCTAAATATGTAGCCTGGCTATCTAAGAAAAAGGCATTGGAACGAGAGGAACATACTTTCCTACTTCTAGATGTAAGTTCTTGTATCTTTCTATTGTAAATGTGCTAATGGGTACCTTATTTCATATTTATCCCAAAGATTTATGCATAAACTTTCTCACCAAAGTGACTACCAGAGAAGGGGCAAGACCAAGAATAATTGATAGAATAATTTATAAATACCTAGTGATATGAGCACAGGAAATAGTATTCCAAGACACAAACCATCTACTGCCACTCTACCTGGTCTCAAAAGAAATGACTTCCAGAAGACCAGAAGTTACATGACCTGCTGAGCAGGTTCTCAGAGGCTTTTACGATCAATGTTGATAGTATGTTGTAGTGCTTTTGTTTCTACGTTTTTTGTTTTGGTCCTATCAAATCAGGTGTCAAAGACTAGGTAAAATGTCCTGGCTAAGCAGTAAAAATGCCAAATATAATTCTGCTTTTTCAAAATTCTTTTTTTAAAGTTCTGGTTGAGACAAAAATTTCATCAAATGATAAAAGACTTGATATAGAACAAACATAAATTGGGCTTAAATGAAACATGAGAAATGTTTAAATAATAACTGTTTTCGATGTAGTTGTTTATTGTTATCAAAGTGTTTTATTCAATTTGAATTAAAGAAATTCCTTTTTCAAAATAAAAGTTTGGTTCTTTCCTTTTGTTTTTCAGTTTCTGGTCTTCAGTCTTCTGCTTTTCTGTTTTGACATTTTAGAACAAACTTGTGGCAGAAATCAACAGTATGATAAACCATAAAAACAATTAGTTCAGAGCCAAGTCTATCTCAACAGCTTTATATAATCAACTGAAATATAATTCAAAAAGTACTCTAAGTAGTTTCCATTGTATTTTCATCCATGTGTAAGGTTATATCCGATAAATTCAACTGAAATGCTAGGGGACATCTTATCTGAATGATCATGGGCATCTGGAGATACCCACAGACATAATACTATTTCAAGACAGAGAATACAAAGATGCTGACTTTCTGCTGGCTTTTCAAGGAAGATGGAAGAATAAGGCAGACACAATGGTAACTGACCTGTTCAATTTGCTCTATAGACTCACAAAATTAGCATAAATGTATAATTTCCCCTGTTGTGGCTTATAAATATACTTCATTTATTTTAGCCAGTCTTAATATTCTCCATACAAGAACATGAGAAATCTTTCACTCCAGATCACAATAACACATGTAAGCAAGAACTGACCTTGTACTTCTCTTAAAAGAATTTTGTGCTCTTAATAACCCTGCTGTTTGAAAGCTCACACAACTCTTTGAACAATCTTACCCCAATATTCTATCCTTAGAGCATCAATCACACATCTGACTAGTAATTTATTTTGGAATTAGTCATTTTGGTGGGTAAACACTGCCAAAACCTGGAGTCTACTTCATTACTCTAATCGCCAGCATCTGTAACACTCTTTTAAAAATGTAAAATGCCCAGAAAGAAAAGGATTTGTGAGTAAGGTAGTCAGCATTACCAAGACAAAATGCCTATTCTCCATCTGGTGACCAACAACTGCTCATTTGGGTCTTCTTCAAGCCACAACTGGAATACTTTTCTCTAATAAGTACTTCAACTTACACTAAAAGAGGATGTACATACCTGTATGACCTATGAGTAGAAGGGCTGTTTGAAGAATATCCAAATTCCATAGTGTAATGTGATCGCTCTGTGGCAGGGGATGGTGGTGGGTTCAAAATCTAAAAAGAAAAATAATTAACATATTAAAATAATAAGCCTACTCCAGACGAGAGACTTGGATTTTCTTTTACTTTTTTTATTCCTATTGTGTTTCATTACACTTAACATTAGCTTAACACTAATCCTTAAAGGACTCAGAGCTTGCAGATATATTTGCTTTATATCCTTTGCAAATTTCTACCAAACTCTTCTGACTATAAATATATATGTATTTATAATCCTTATATTTAACTTATTTATAATCCTTATATTTAACTTAAATAATATATTTAAGTTAAATTATTTAACTTTAAGCATGGTAGGTTAAATAATAACACTAATCCTTTTCCAAAGAACTAACTTCAATTAATATTTTATGATTGTGGCTCCACTTTCCCTAAGACAATCTTATCATTACTAAAAAGTATAAAGTGGAAAAGAAAATCTGTAATCTGTGAGTTACTGGTTTAAGTTCAGCACAGCTAGGTTCTGATTTTTAAAAATTGTATACACATACAAACACACACCTGCCCTTTGCCATATTGGGGATTAAACCCAGGGGCGCTCTACCACTGAGCTTTTTTTTTTGGTACCAAGGATTGAACTCAGGGGCACAATCACTGAGCCACATCCCCAGTTCTATTTTGTATTTCATTTAGAAACAGGGTCTCACTGAGTTCCTAAGCATCTAACTTTTGCTGAGACTGCCTTTGAACTTGTGTTCTTCCCACCTCAGCCTCCTGAGCGATTGGGATTACAGGCATGCAGCCCTTATTATGTTTTACTCTGAGAAAGGGTCTTACTAATTTGCAGACTCAAATCAGTACTGCAATCTTCTTGCCTCAGCCTCTCAAGTCACTGGGATTAGAGGACATGTGCCACCATGCCTGGAACTTTTTTAAAAATTTTAAACATTTAGAAAAAAATTAACAATTTAAGAGAAATTCTAGGTGTCCTTCCTCTTTTGGGAGGTCATGAAATGAAGGTACTTATTCTCTTAAGAGATACCATTCAGTATTCTATTTTTACTTGAAATGGAAAAGTAATGCCCAATGCTTTCAAATATGCTGCTGGTCAGTGAACTTAAAAGAAATATTTATAAGCAGGAACAGTGTGATAAATCCTTCTGAGACTTACATACTTAAATTCTTTATTAAAACACTATTTTTACAGCTGGACATGGTGGCACACTCCTGTAATCCCAATGGCTGGGGGTGGGGTGTGAGACAGAAGGATCAAGTTCAAAGCCAGGCTCAGCAACTGTCTCAAAATAAAAAATATAAAATGGGTTGGGGATGTGGCTCAGCAGTTGAGTGCCCTTGGTTCAATTCCTGGTATCCAAAACAAGAAAACAAGCAAGCAAAAAAGAAACTGTCATTGAGAACCCACAGATTAATCTAAAATGCTATTTATTTTAGTATTCAGAGAAAAACACAGCAAGATAGACTGCTTACTGCAGGGAAGTAAGTGCCTTTGGTGCTTGAAGAACTGCTTGATGATGCTCCTGTGACATGTGCTCGATCATAGGGAGGTCCACTACTTCCCCCCATGATACTGAGGGAGCTGATCATTGATTTACCTCGAGACATTCCTAACATAAAAGAGAGACAAAAACAGAAGATAAGGTGTGTGAGGAGGGAGGAGGGAAGTGCTGGGGAGTGATACTGGCCAAACTATATTGTTATATTGTATATATGTACAAATATGTAGCAACAAATTTCATCAATATGCGTAAATACAATGCATCTATAAAAATATGCGACAAAAACTCAGGATGAGTAAGATTATAAAAATGTATGAAATAATTTTGCTCAACACTAGGGTCCCAAACACCAATAGTTAAACAGAGACCTTCAAAGTGAGGTTTTTCAACAGCCTGGAGGATTTGAAGGGGAAAGGATGAAAGGATGGAGGTTGTCATGCACGGTAGGTTAAATAACAACATTTGTTTAAAAGGGAGAAAAAAAAAATTTTTAGGGCCTAAACACAATGTATGGAAGATATTTCTTCACCTACTGGATGCAAACATTGCTGGAATCAAAACTAGCAACTTTAAAGAAAAAATTCTATTTCTTCCAAGTAGCTTCCCTAAATTTCACATCCAGAAAATTGGTATAGCACCAAGAAAACACTATCATAATCAGCTTAAATACTATGATTATTTACTTAATAATTATACCCAAAATATGTTCCTATTTTCAGTTCTTTGGCCAGGAACCTCCTCTTCATATTCATTAAAAGGAAGGCTTCTTTTCACTAAGGGCACCAGAAAACACTGAAATGTAAGTTACACTTCCCTTGAGCAATAGTGCCTACCCAAGCATAAAACTTCTGACTATTTGGCTATGCCTAAATCAGTCTTAGTCCTACTATCATCTGTTAAGTCAGAGAAAACATAAAACAATATATCCCTCCCTTCAGTCACCCACTTATTTCTGAATCTTTGTCTGCTGAAGGGAAGTCTACCTATTTGGTGACTTTTTATTCCTGGGCTCAAGAGTAAGAGGTTTCCTGGTAGTTATGAACCTGAAGAATGTATGTTTATAACTCTTCACCAAAGGATTGGCTGATCTGCTTTCAGGAGCATGCCTCCAGAGGATAGAGGACTCAGAGCTTGCAGATATATTTGCTTTATATCCTTTGCAAATTTCTACCAAACTCTTTGTGTAAAAGAGAATGTGCAAGAAGTAAACAAGAACATTGTTCTTATAGTTTTTTTAAAACCCCAAATAATCTAGTTTCAAAGAAAACCTAGGTAACATTCTGTTTCCACAAAAGAGACTTAATAATCTTGCCAGGATCTAAGACTTGACTTTCATGGATCAGTCTTAACTCACCTGGAAGAGATCCTGACAGAGAACTTGGGTGTGGCACATAACCAAGAGGCACAGAAGCTGGTCCATGAACCACATAGTCATTAGTCATAGTTTCCCCATCTCCCTTCATACGTGGACACAACATCCTCTGGCAGATAAAGTATATTGTTCCAGACACAAAAATGGTAACAATTACTCCAATAACTGAACCAACTGTGTTAGTGGCCTGTGGTGCTGGCTCTTCAGTTGGATCTAAAATGGAGAATATTGTAGTTATCTAATAGAAAAATAACCGTATATTCAAAATAGCAAATAAAAAGAGGGTTTATTAACAATGTGAAACTATAAAATTAATGAATACAACTCACATATTTTTCTTTTATGAATCCATATATATATACCATGCTCCATGAAAATAAGAATGTCATCATTAGGAATCAAAATGAACCACATTAAGTGAAGACAGAAATAAAATAGATTGGTAAGTATAACTATAAACTGACAGAAACAAAGATGGCAAATATAAATTTAAACATTATGAAGCTTTAAATTCATAAACAGATGAAAGTGACTTTTTTCTATGTATCATAAAAACCTACAGTTTCTTTTGGAATTTCAACATTATATGCCAGAAGGGATGGACCTAGAAAAGTCATCAAATGTTTTGACTTGGAATGCTGAAGAAGCCCAAAACAGCTCTGAGCACATGCTGGAGTTTAGGTTTTAATGATGACATTTAGGCCTACTGAAGGAAAATTAGAAACTACAGATGATACTGGGTTCCCAGAGACAATAAGCTGCTATCCTCAGGCTGTCTATGTCTAGTTGCCTAAAGGCAAGAAACATAGGTCTCTGATACCCAATTACTAGAGGATTCACAGAGAAAAGCTAGAGCACTAGAGAAGAATTCTGCCCAGGATATTCACCTTCCCTGGATCCCTTTAAGAAGCCTGTAAGAAGGAGAAGGCTTTTTTTTTTTTTTTTTTTTTTTTTTAACGCAGAGTATATCAACATCAGAGGTAGACAGAAAGAGCAAATGTACTTATCAAATTTAGAAGGGTTTCTATTTAGAGGGAAAATGCTTCCATTCTGACTAGTTAACTTATATTTCACAGCTGTAGATCCTTTAAATTTTTTTTCTTCTGCTTCACCTTACTGTGAATCCCCCAAACACACAGCTAATTTATATAGATTATATCAAAGAAATAAGGTGAAAATGATAGCACTAAGTTATATAATATATAGGGACTATCTGTTACAAATTTAGTCTGTGGAATCTGAGGCACATAATTGCTGAGCAGCAATCCCACCTTTTTTATTCATTTCTAGAACCTTGGTATTCCTTTCCAATGTCAAGCTTTAAGAAAAAAAATTATTTAAATCCACCACCCCCATTTCTAGGCTCTGGGCTATGTGTAACTCACCGAATTCAGGCTTCTACCCTCGCCACAGCACTAAAAACTGCTGTAAGAAAGGTCAAAGTTCCTCCATTTGCCATTCTCTTTAAACTTCATCTCACTGACCCCTCTACACATTCAATAATGCTGGATCCTGTTTTTTTCTCAAAAATGTCTGATCAATCAATATCCTTCAAAGACACCACTCTTCCAGTTTTATTATTTCTGATTATTCTTTTTCTCCGTTTTTTTTTTTTTTTTTGGTTGTTTCATTCCTGTCAATTTTGTTTACTTGAGATCTATCACCTAATATTTTCCTCCTCTATCTACTCTCCTAGGAGATTTTGTCTATTGCCACAGCTTTAATTATTATCAATAAAATAAAGAATGCCAGATCCTCCTGAGCCATAGAGCCATATATCAACAATTTCCTAATAGCTTCAATGGGATATCCCATGGTTATCTTTAATGCAAACATATCCCAAAATGAATTCACCATTACTACTATTTGTTGTTTCTCTCACATACCAGAGGTGAAACAGATCACAAATGAAAGAAACAGTGTAATACAGGACAAGAGTGATGGGGCCTGTGGCAAGCTGTGAAGTGCATGTCTACCTAAAGGCATTTAGGCTAAATTAAAAACAAAAATAAATTAACAAAAAACATTTCATCAACTAAACATCACACCTACATCCAGGATAGGGTTCAGTATTTCAGTTTTCAGTTCCTGCTATTTATCTTAGTTAATGACTCTACTCAATAAGGTATCCATGGATCATCTTAAACTTGTCAGCTATATCTAGGTGGTTACCAAATCCTTTTTATTCCAATTCTAAAACAACTCTGAAATCTATTCCTTCTTTTAATACCACTGCTCCTGTTTTTGATTTAGATCTTATCTTCTGTCTAAACTACCTCTTAAGCACTTTTAAATTACAGACTACAAGTCATTAGTAGATGATAAAAACAATTTAGTGGGTTGCAAGCAGCATTTAAAAAAAAAGAAAGAAAATATTGGGATTCAGTTGACATCATATGGGTTCATACTGCTGTGTGACACTTTTGTTTATGCTTATAATCACACCTTTGTATTCCTCTTGATGTAATCCAAAGCAGTCTGAAAACAACCAACCTAAATGACTTCCCTGCCTACAATCTTTTTTTTTTTTTTTTTTTTTTTTTTTAGAGAGAGGGAGAGAGAGAGAGAATTTTAATATTTATTTTTTAGTATTTGGCGGACACAACATCTTTGTATGTGGTGCTGAGGATTGAACCCGGGCCGCACGCATGCCAGGTGAGCGCGCTACCGCTTGAGCCACATCCCCAGCCCCCTGCCTACAATCTTATAACCTCCAATATACCTGAAATATCATATCTAATAATGCCTTTATGTATTTATTGATTTATGTAGTCATGCAGATCCTTTTCTTAGAATTTTCAATGATTCTCCATTGTGAGTGGAATATTGCCTAGGCAATAGAGACAACTCTGGGAACCTTGCTGCAGGTACAATGTATTCTCAGCACAGGGCAGTAAATCATTATTGAATCAATGAGTAGATTCTAAAAGTCTTAATAAACATTCCACTTGAACTTTTATTGATTTGAGATAGACACATGTTACAGCATTGGTTAACAGTAATGAACCTTGAAGAAACTACAGGCTGTTTAGCCAAGGGTCTCTAAGTCTCCAGGAATGTTTAAGCATCCTCAGGCTGCATTTTAAAAAACTCTTAAATTTTTCTAGCCATTGAAAACCTGGTGGAAACACTTAGAGAAACAATGGTCAACGGTTAAGCAGGGAATAATGTTCAGTAACTAAGTTGAGACCACTAACATTTCATCCTATCTAAATTATTAGAGATGTTTATGATTTTTTAGTTGTGGCATAACTATGCCTATTCATTCCTGGTGCTTTATGAAATACTTCTGTGAATATTTTTGTGCATAAGAAAATTGTTCTTTATATATATATATATATATATATATATATTTTTTTTTTTTTTTAGTTGTAGATGGACACTACACCTTTATTTTGTTCACTTATTATTATGTGGTGTGATCAAACCCAGGGCCTCACACATCCTAGGCAAGTGCTCTACCACTGAGCTACAAAAAACTAGACCAGAAGACTGCTATCTTTAAGAAATTATTAAAGGGCTGGGGTTGTGGCTCAGTGGCAGAATGCTCACCTAGCATGCACGAGGCACTGTACCACATAAATGTAAAATAAGGATATTGTGTCCATCTAAAACTTAGGAATAAATATTTAAAAAAAAGAAATTATTAAAAACAAAACAAAGAAATCCTGGCACATATAACGAGCTTAATATTAGTACTTAATAAGAAAATCTTGATAATAAACACATAAGGAAAATGGAAAAGTATTTTAAAGGTTTTCAAGTTTTCCCTTGAGAGTAAATTATAAAGTTTTATTCCTACTTACAGCAATCCAGTTCATCAGATTTATCACTGCAATCCACATTATGATCACATTTCTTATGCTTTCCAATGCACTGACCATTGGCACAGCGAAACTGATCAATTAAACAAAGCACTGGAAAAAATGCAAATAGTTTTCTTATTTTTAGCATTATATAAAGCCAAATTTTGGCAAGAGTTCAAAGGTGTTTCTGAATACAAATGAAAAATGCATTAAACTTTTACACATACTCTAAATGTTTTCTGGGGATTCCCATTGATACAAAGAAAAGAATGGCAGAAACAGAACCCAACAGGAAATTTCTTACTTTGTTCTTTAAATTCCTTTCACTGCAATAAATTTTCCTTGTTTACCCTGGAGAATTCTAGAGAACTTATTTGTACTGTGTAAGGCTAGTGAGGGAAAGAGAGGAAAAAAAAAATTTAGATTGCAGTAAGTAAATCTATGAAATCAGGGTTCACAGAGACTATTTTTAAAATAGTCAGAGCCTAATATTTTGGTTCCATTTCTCAATTTTCAGAGCTTATAGACTGGATAAGGTTTGAGTATGTCCTCAAAAGATTCATGTACGTTAGCAGCATGGTCTTCAGTATGACATGGTGTTGAGGTGGAGGAACCTTGAGGAGCCTATTTAGGATGTCACTGGGGCCTTGTCCTCAGAATGGATTAAGGTAGCTGGCATGGAACTTTGAGTTAGTGCTCCAGACAGGTTGTTATGAGAACAAATCTGGCCCCTCTCCTTGCTCTGGCTTCCTATTTTGGGATGTGATTTTTTTTTTCTCACAAGTACTCCTCTATTGTGCTGCCACCTGCCACCTTCACCCAACTGATATGCCAGCACCATACCCTTGAACCTCTAGAATTATGAGCTAAATAAACCTTTTTCTAAAATTACCCAGCCTTAGGTATTTCATTAAAGTTAGAAAAAACTGACTAAACACATTTATTAATCAGTAAAACCTTATGCGTGTGAAATGAATTCAAGTTATTTGGAACATGGTATTATGTTCATGGTATGTTCAAACATACTAGAAACACCCCAAAATCTACCACCAGTATTTACACTGGATTTTTTTAATATTTGTTTTTTAGTTTCAAGTGGACACAATATGTTTTTTTAAAATTGTTTTTTAGTTGTAGTTGGACACAATACCTTTATTTTACTTATTTTTATATGGTGCTGAGGATCGAACCCAGGGCCTCAAATGTGCTAGGCGAAAACTCTACCGCTAAGCCATAATCCCAGCCCAACACAATGTCTTTATTTTATATTTATGTGGTGCTGAGGATCAAACCCCATGCCTCATGCATGCTATGTGAGCACTCTATACCACTGAGCCACAACCCCAGCCCTGCAATGAATTTTAAACAACTTGATGGAAAAAGAATTTTCTGAGAAGTTTGATTACCTTCACAATTCTTCTCATCTGATTTATCCTGGCAATTTGCATCGCCATTGCATCGGAGGGCACCATCAATACACTGCCCACTGGCACATTGGAACTGGGACTCTGAGCATACAGGACAATTGAGTTCATCACTGTGGTCTTCACATTCAGTAAACCCATCACACCGCCAAGCCACAGGGATACAGTCAATTTCCCCAGTGAAACAAGTAAACTGCTGAGGAGAACATGTTGGGGGTTCTTCAAATGAAAAAGGAGGAGAAACAAAAGCACAGCAAAAGTCAAACATCTATACTCAAATGAATTCATTTAATAATTAACATATACAAAGTACTTTATGATTTCAAACATAACCTAGGAAAATCACTATAATCACCAACCTCCAACTTTAAAAAAAATTTTCTATTATTTGTGCTGCTTAAACTTGAACCCAGGGCCTTATGCATACTAGGCAATCACTGCACCACTGACCTATATTCCTAGCCCTCCAAACATTTTAAAGTTAGCCTAGAACTAATAACTTTCCTAGCTCTGAGGTTCTAGAGTGGTCCATGGTCTCCTCAGGATCCCTGACACCTCTTCAGTGGATATGCTATGCTAGAACTATTTTAGCAATAGTTCTAAGTGTCATTTGCTTTTTTCACTACATTTGCACAGATGCTACAAAAGGAATGGTGAAACTGTTGGTATCTTGGCAGACTCAAGGCAACTGCACCAAGTTATACTGGCAGTTACTGTACTCTGCATAGCCACGAACCTACAGTTTAAGCTAAAAAAAAAAAAAAAAAAAGCCAGTTTCACTTAAGAAGGTTTGTGATGAGCTAGGCATTGTTGTGCACCTCTGTAATCCCAGTTACTTGAGAAGTCGAGACAGGAAGATTGTTAAATTCCTGGGCAACTCTGTGACACCCTGACTCAAAATAAATTGTTGCTCAGAGGTAGAATATTTCTGGGCTTAATATCCAGTACTTGAGGGAAAAATGTTTGTGAAGAATCAATAAAAATATTAAATTTATTAATATCTTTTATTTGTTCTTTATAGATATACATGACAGTAGAGTATATTTTGACATATTATACATACATGGAGTATAACTTATTCTAATTAGGAACCCATTCTTGTGGTAAAATCAAATTCTGAGTGCATGTCTCTTCAATACCATTTGATGAACTGGAAATAACCAAAAAGCTCATGTTGCAAACATAAGCATAACAGTTTCTAGGGGAAAAGCCTTTCTCGAATTGTAAGCACAAATCAAAATGGAATACTTTTACTTGAAAGAGTAACTGATAAAACTATAGCTAATTACATTTGGTTATTAGGCAAGAATTTTTTTTAAAAATGAACCAAATGAGCCTGTTTCTTTCTAATATTTGTGGCAAATTACATTAAATCACTATAATCACCAACCTCCAACTTAATTTCTAATTGAAATTACATTTTGAAAAACTTGTATCTATACAACACTTTTATCTTGACAGATTCCCAGTACCTTTTTTCTGATGAGACTGGTGGTAATATTAACAAATGTGATTTGTTTGTGTGTATGTGTGTTTGTGTGTTACTGGGGACCAAACCCAGGAGTCCTCTATATTCGAGCTCCATCTCTAGCCATCTTTTTTTTTCTTTTTTTAAATCTATCTGTCCATCCTTTCATCCTCTACCTGTCTATTTATCTATCTTGAGATGGGTCTTGCTAAATTGCCATGGTTGGCCTTGAACTTTGATCCTCTTGCTTCAGCTTTCCAAGTTCTGGGATTATAGGCATGTGTCACCATACCCAACTAACAAATGTTATTTTTTTGATATCATATGGTAAAATGGGTCAAAATGGGTCAAAATCTGAAGACCAGGAATTTTTTAATGAAATTCTAATATTTCCAAATGATCAAGGTACAAAGTCATGCCTAGGTAAAAATATCCATACATCCATTCAGAGTACAAAATACATCTATGCTTTTTTGTTTGTTTGTTTAAAGTGTCTTGCTATGTTGCCCAAACTCCTGGGCTCAAGAAGTCTTCCTGCTTTAGTCTTCTGTGTAGCATGGACTACAGATGTGTGCTACCTTACCCAGTCAGATCAGTTCATTTTAATATAACAGATCATTAAAAGTTAATTGATAATGGTTTCAAATTCTGCACTGCAACTAAACCTAAAGGAAGCTATCACTTGTAAAGATTTGGTATAGAATCCCAGATAAATATCCATAATTATATGAAAAGGCTATTGTTGTAGTCTATTCTTCCAACTATGTATCTGTTGTAAGACTAATATTTTATTCATATATTTAGATCAAAACTACACATCACAACAGAATAAATGCACAGTAGACATTAGAATCTCATCCAATTTTAAAAAGACAAAAACATAAAACTTCTCACCAAAATTATTTTGCCTTAAAAAGTTAATTTTTAAATCTTTGATTTAAAAGCATATAAAGGTTTATTATTATTACTTTTAATAGATTTTAAAGTTCTTAGTTTTAAATTCTGGTACAGTAAATATAAACACAACATACAAAAACAACCTCTCTAGGGTCCTCAATTTTTTAAAACAATTTTTTTTAGTTGTAGCTGAACACAATACCTTTATTTTATTTATTTTTATGTGGTGCTGAGGATCAAACCCAGTGCCTCACACATGCTAGGCAAGTGCTCTACCACTGAGCCACAACCCCAGCCCCTCATTTTTTTTTTTAAATGTAAAAATATACCAACAACTAATAGTTTAAGTGCAGAAATTAAAGCTAAATTTCCTTGTTTTTATAAATGAGGAAACTAAGTGGAGCTAAGTGACTGCCCAAGGTCAGAGAGCTTCTTATAAAATAATGGATGATTTAAAAAAAAAAGAGAGAGATGCTAAGAGCCAAGTATATGAGGCATGGCATTTTTGGTCGAAAGGTGACACCAGCTAGCCATTGAGATGATAAGATTATGTTAAGATTTGCATTCATATGGATATTGGACTCCTGCTGTTCACCTAGGCCGGCTACGGGACTCCTGGAGAGTTCCCATTGGTTGGGGAAGTACAGTAGGAGGGAGTTCCGGGGGAGGAGCTCTCGGTGGTTCCGAGAGGAGGCCGCATGGGTGGAAAAAATCTTCCTGGGCGGTACCGGACATTGGCGGCAGTTTCAAAAAATAAACTTTGTTCCTGCTTGAGTGGCTCGTGATTTTGTGCCCAGCCAGACTGCGGCACCTGGCGGCCCGCATGGGGAATGCCTGAAGCTTGGAGGTGAGTAAAATTGCTCGCCCCTGAGGGAAGGCAACAAAATGGGTGACCATTTCAAAAAACAATGTGTTCTCGTTTTGATTTATCTTGTTTTTGTTTCAAGCTGCCTATCCCTAGAATTTTCTCAGGCAAACTGGGAAAAATGGTTGGCTCAAGGTTTGAAGTTGTTCGGCCCTGAGAAAGAGAAAATTGATACAACTATTCTTTGTTCGGTTTTTGTTTCATTCTGTTTCAGTTTTGTTTTATGCTATCTTATTGGGTTGCGTTACCTTTATAGTAGATTAGAAACTAGTAAAAAACAAACCGAAAGACTGTTAAGTAAATTGTTAGAGGTCCAGACTATGGTAGAAAACATGTTAGGTCAAGCGAAAGAGAAGGTCTCTCAAGCTAGTCAGACAGAGGAAGATTTGAAGAAAGAAAGCTTAGAGGAAAAACAACCATCAGGCGGGGAATTACAACAGGAGGCTGCTACTAACCCCGTTCTATCACCAGAGGGTGTAATTCAACCAACAGCTCCATCTACAGCCGAGGGGCCCTCAACTCCCATAGTTGATGGACGGAATCCTGAGGCAGGACCCCAAAGATTAGCATGCCCTGTACTTGAGCAGGCAGGAGGGCAACGAATTCACCGTGCTTTAGATTTCAAAACAGTGAAGCAATTCAAGGAGGCTGTAACAACCTACAGGCCACAAGCACCCTTCACTGTGAGCATGGTCGAATCCATTACCAACTTAGACATGACGCCAGCAGATTGGGCTAACATGTGTCGATCTGTGCTAAATGGAGGACAATATTTGTTATGGAAGGTTGCCAATGAGGAATTTTGCATGGAAACAGCTAGGCGAAATGCAGCAGCCGGTTACCCTCAAAGAAATCTAGATATGTTATTAGGAAAAGGACCTTATGAGGGTCAACGGCAACAAATTGAATATGATCCTGGCGTATACGCACAAATTGCTGTAGATGCAATTAAGGCATGGAAAACTTTACAGGGGCATGGAGATTTACAAGGACAATTATCTAAGGTAATACAAGGAGCTAATGAACCTTACGCTGAATTTGTAGATAGGCTTATTCAGACAGCATCTAGAGTATTTGGAGATACAGAACAGGCAATGCCATTTATAAAACAACTGGCTTATGACCAAGCAAATCGTTGCTGCAGGGAGGTCATCAGACCATGGAAACACGAAGATTTAAACACATATATTAAATTATGTAGAGACATTAATGAACAAGGGCAAGTCTTAGCAGCAGTACAATAGGCTTTAGATGCCAGGCCAAAAACATGCTATAATTATGATCAAACAGGACATTTTAAAAGGAGTTGCCCCATAGGAGGAGGGTTTAACAAGGCTAGGTATCAAAGGAATAGAATACCGGGTATTTGCCCACGATGCCGTAGAGGGAAACATTGGGCTAATGAATGCCATTCTCAAACCACCATAGAAGGTATTCCGCTATCAAAAAACAGACAAGGACCAAGTGTTTATCCACGATATCGTGGAGAAAGACATCAGGCTCCATTGCCAAAAAACGGACTGGAGGGCCCAATGCTCCGGGGCCCAAAACCACAAATATACGGGGCAATGGAGGAACCCAGCAGCACCATCAAGGTAGTGCCCAGGACGCATTATCCATTAAATCCCTCATCAGACAAACTAGAGGGAGCGCAGGGTTGGACATCTGCGCCTCTGCCAGAGCAGTACTAACTCCAGAGATGGGAATTCAAATCATTCCCACAGGAGTAAAAGGACCTCTTCCCCAAGGAACAGTAGGCTTATTATTGGGACGCAGTTCTTCAACACTAAAAGGACTTATGATAAGTCCTGGGGTAATTGATCCTGATTATGAGGGTGAAATAAAAATTATAGCTAGTTCTCCAAGAGGTATATCAGTAATTTCACCAGGAGATAGAATAGCACAGTTATTAATAATACCCAGCCTACATGATAAATTTTCCAGTCGTACTGTAGAAAGAGGTTCCAGGGGATTAGGCTCCACAGGTGT